GGTTGCCACTTCAGGCCAGAGATTTATGAGCGTACGACACGTTCAACGTGCTCAGCGCTAGCATCCAATGAAAATGTGAAAACTCCTGTTTAGCAGTGATGAAAACATTTTTTGGTTGTGAATATTTACAAAATGGATGTTGATTCTGACATGTATTTAGTAACATCAGATAGAGAATAAATAGTACAACACGTTTACGTCACAAAAATTTCGGTAAGACGCCGGTTTAATTAACATCGAGGTACAAAATTATCATCTATCATAACTGGTGTTATACAAAGCTTACATATTTTTTGTTCCTTTACACGGATTGTAAATAAATACCTAGATAAATATTGAAAATTTCAGATCGTCATCTCATTTACGAGTGGAGTAAAGTTCACCCTAATTAGTGAAGAACTGCTTAGGAACCTGTCCGGGACCTCGCGGCTCTCAAGCACCACCTTAAATATCGATTAATATCGTGAAGCTAGGTAAAATCGATATATATATATATATAGGTAAAAATGAAATGTGCAAAAAGAGTAAAAAAAAATGTTATGCCCATTTTGTGTTAGTTTTTAAAATAAAATAAAATTATGGGCTCATCAATAAATTCCAGGTGGATTGAGTAATTTAAAAAAAAACATGGGTTTCTCAACCCTGTTAGCAAGGATAAGGCATGGAAGAATTACATGTGAATGAAACATTTATTTATTCTATCTAGGCTGAGCCATCTTGCTCTTAACATTATTGGTTTTGAACTTCTTCTTGGGAGAGTTGATTGCAATTTTTGCATTATTGATTAATTCCATCCAAGCAGCAGGCATTTACAATAGTAGAAGTCTCAAAGTTAGGTACGAATGTATAAGTGCTGAGTTCGATTTTTCAAAAGTTACTAATATAAGTTCCTTTTAACTAATATGTAAAATTTCTTACTGTTAACCTTGATCATCCATCCTTGTTTCTGTCATGAAGTTTATGTAGGAATCCTCAACATCCAGTTCATCTTGATTGTTGTGACTTAAATTGTTTTTGCTACTAAAAATTTTTTGTTGCAGAAAGTCATAGCCTCACTGTTGAGTCATGGGCATGACATCACTCACAACCTCTGCACACCTGATGAACAGGGCTACTCTGCTCTTCATCATGCGGTTTTGTACAAGGATCTTGCAATGTTGAAGAAACTTCTAATGTATGCAGGTAATTGAGTTATTTTATCTATTCATTATTATTTGTGTAAAAATTAAACTAAAAATAGTAAATGGAGAACTTGAAGTCTTACATGATTCGGAAGCCTAAGTTGAAAATGGAAGTTTGATCCAGCCTGTACAAAGCGCTGGCTGTAATGGCATGCCTTGTACTTATGTAGCTTGTGGGCAATTCATTGATGACGTCTTGGGATTATTTTATTTCTTCAAGAAGTAAACATTTTTTTTCTCGACTGTATAATGAACAATGCTTCGGTTGAGATTCCCAATTGCAATGAGAAAATATACAGCTTATTGTACCTATAGCTGCTCACCTTTATGCTCTGTAGTTGGTGGTTAATGATGTTACTCTCTCTTTGAAATTGTTTATGCTGCCTATAACTACTTAGATCAGATTGAAAAAATTTTGTTTCAGTCATGTATTATTTTCCAGAAATATTAAAGCTGCTAGTATCACCTATTGGATTTTTCATTATGAATACAAGTATAATTGTCAGTGATACTCTTTCGCAGAAGAATTTCTAAGTTGATTATTTCAAGTCCAATTTACGAAAAATTGAAATTTGCAGCTTTTCTTCAGAGATTCTACTTCTGTTCTAAACCTTCTGGACGATATTCTGCAGCATACTTAAGCTCCTTGCACTTACCATGGCGTTTTTCATTCTAGTAACATTGTTCCTGACCATGCCACCACTGAGCTTTTGTAGTGCTGTGTAGTGGTTAGTGCTTTCTCAACCGAGTGCAAGTTACAAATGAGGAGGTCAAGTTGTTTGCAGTTGGCAGTTCCTTGCACTTCCTTTCAATGTCCTACTTGTGTTGGAGATTTATGTTCATGTTGGGGTACCAACCAATGTATTGAATATTAACAGGATAAAACTGTCCCTTGTAGAGGTGGAATTAGTTCTGTTTCTGCGCTATTCATTCTTGGTTGGGCCATTCTTAGAAATTCTAATGCTTCTATTTGCTGCCCATTGAATGCCGATGTTGATATTGATAAATAATTTGTTTTCTTTTGTTTCAGTCATTATTGTTTAATGATCATTGTAGATCAAAGGTGCATTAACTTGGAGAGTCATGATCGATCCACTGCTCTGCTGCTTCTCTGCAGAAACTGCTCAGCCTCAGACCTGGAGGTGACTAGGATGGTCTTGAAATGTTTCATATGCTTTTAATTCAGCCTGCCTACAATTAAACATAAAACAGACCAAATTCTGATGATAATTTTCATGTGCATGATCCTGATTTTGAGAATTAAAGATTTGCTGAATTTTTATAATAACTTTATGTTTTGGTACAGTCTGAATAAAAATATTCACGCTTGTAGGGTACTAGTCAGGTCACTACAGCATCTCTATGATGTCCAAAACTTTGTCTAAAACTGCTTATTTTTGTTGACTCCTAATTTTGCAATAAGTTGCTGAATTTTATTTTTCCGTTTAAGAAGTATAATAACAGTTGTTTCTTATCATTCCGTCCTGATACTTCATCTTAAATTCACTCCACTAAATTTTTATTTGTTCAGGAAGAAATATTGGCAAGCCTTCTAGATGCTGGAGCAAATCCCAACCTGCCTGAAAATGATCCATTTTCTCTGCCCCTATTGTGCGGTATGTCACCTTAATAATAGCTCTAGCTTTAGTTAGGAATGCATTTAAGGAGTTTTTATCAATATATTATATACAATCTAATAAGAAATTCTTGCTGATTTAGCACCGTGAGAACCGTGCTAAAATCTGCCTAATGGTCAGATTAATAAGAACAAAATTAGGTAGATGAATCTCATCTTGAAGACGCGACTTATTTCTATTGCATGAACATGGCTTAAAACTTTTTTGAAAAATCATTCAATTATGCTTGGCTTGTGCCCCTATATGAAAACAAGTAAGAATTAGAGCCCAACTTTGCACTCGATAGTGAAAGCAGCACATTATTAGATGCCAATTTTCCAGCCTTGGAGAGACGCTGGTGGCGAGGAGCTGAGCTAATGCTGGACGCAGGGGCGGACGCCACAGCCATGGATTCTGAGCACTTTGATCTTCCAGCCACATACTTTGCTCGGGTGCGCGCAGCTTTTAATTCAGTGAAATGTATGCGTCCCAATTGCGGCTGCACGATAAACTGTCCACGATTATTACAATTTTAGCGCATTCAGATATGAGTATGAATAATGTTTCATTCTGTGTTGTAGATTTTGTGATGTGAAGTTGCTACTTATTTCCCCGTTTGGGTTTGACCTTTCACAGAACTAAATGATCATTACTTCTATATCAAATTCTCAATTAATTGCCCTTTTACTACCGGGAACTTCTTAGAATCATTTTGTCTCAGATTTGTATCTGTGATTTTAATTCTGATGCTGAGGAAGCAATGTCATCTCTGTCATGAGTTTGAGCATTTTATTTGGAATATTTTTGTGTTTTCAGGATAATGTCGAAATGCTGAGGAACCTATTGAGTAGAGGATGTGACTGCCCTGACCTCAATCATTGGATAACTAACAGAAATCTAACAGATGCCCAGTTGAAGACCATATTGCAGCCGTACATATTGTCTCACTCAGAAATTCTTGGGTAAGCACTGTAGCTGCATAACATCTAACAAAACCAGCTTATGTGAACATTTTAAACTACTCTATACCTCAAGTATTTGATTAGCCAGAAATAAGTTCATATTCCGAATGAAATAAATTCATCATTAATCAAATGCAATGTTAGATTCTATTTTCCATAACTGGTTCTATTTCTGGTACCTAGGCTGGAAGATGTGCTGCTTGGTGCTGTCTCGGTATCGTACCACGAGAGCGCTTTGTACATTCTGGAGCATTACGCGTTTGACACGATGTATCAATTACAGCACATTATCGAATATATCTTTAGACTTAACAATGGAATCAACTGGGCAGACAAGAAAAAGTAAGAGTTGTTAAATAGATCCTGCATCTACTTAATGCAAAGTATCCTTGTTTGCATATTCTCAGCCTGCATGAAGACAATTAACTTTTCTACAATTAATTCTGTTGAGAAATTTTGCATTTAGAAGTAATTCATAAACACTAGTTTCTTTTAAGTTGGGGTATTTCTTTGATAGTTAAAACGACATAATGAAACTCTCCAGTCATGCCTGAAATTTCTACAAATGCTGACATTTGAGTGAAAAATCTAAAATGGTCATCAGGTAACTATGGAAGTTTCGTTCTGGCGTAATATTCTTAAAGCATTACTGATCCAGTGGTTGTTTGAAAAGGATTTAAGTTCTAATCTGCTTCATCATTGATTTAATTTATGTATCCATATAAAAATATTTTTCTCTTCAGTTATGTAACTGCCATGACGAAGAACATCTTCATGAGTGAATTGGACAAGAAAGAACTGATGATAATAAAACTTTTCCTGAAATGCGCCAAGTCAGTTCCTGTGAAAGTTACACTTAATTATTCAATACTAAAATTCATAATGAAATTTATAAACATCTTCCTTACCGTTATGGTCGATCTTAACTGAAATAATTTTTAAATTAGTTACTTGAATTTTACTTCGTAATAGATTATTGAAACGGGTGTAAGCTGGAAGAATAGCTGAAATTATCTTGCCCTTAGATCCTGCCCGAAAAATGAAGACGGAGAAGAGTGTGGCGGTTTGTGCGACGTCAATGTCGAACAAATCTGGATCAATCTAGAACATATTATTAGACTAGCCGAGCACAATGGACTACAAATCGAAAATTGGAGCCTAAGCGAGGAACTGTTTGAAATGACCCTTCGCAATACAACACTGCCTATAATACAATGGTAAGTGTGATTAGTAAGTAAGCAGGTTCATTTGCTAGCATTTGCGTCGATAGCATTATGTACAATTATTTATTAATTGAATCTCTAGTCATCATTTATTTATTATTAAAATTAGCACTTGAAAAATTGCTCAATAGATCTACTCTTAGGTTAGGAGAAGTACTCTAAAAATAGGGAAATCAATTGGAAATATGATCCAAATATAACAGAAGATTCAAATGAATACAAATTTGTATTAAATTTATTGAAAGCCGATATTTTACTTCGGCAATTCAACGCTTTGCCTGCGACTCCCAAAGTATACTGTTTGGCTGGGATGCCGCTCGTTCAAGCTTGAATAATTTTATTTAAAGACATGACAGCGAGACGGATGAGTGTGCGTCGTTCTGGTCCGGTGCGCGTACTCCGTTCTTGTCTCAGTCAGTGTACTCAGTTCTTGTCTCGGCGAGTGTACTCCGTTCTTGTCTCGGTGCGTGTACTCCGTTCTTGTCTCGGTAAGTGTATTGCGTTCTTGTCTCGGTAAGTGTACTCCGTCTTGTCTCGGTAAGTGTACTCCGTTGTTTCGCTGAGTGTACTCCGTTCTTGTCTCGGTGAGTGTACTCTGTTCTTGTCTCGGTGAATGTACTCCACTCTTGTCTCGGTGAATGTACTCCGTTCTTGTCTCGGTTAGTGGACTCCGTTCTTGTCTCGGTGAGTGTACGAGATTAAAAAAAATAGCGTGAGCCGATATCTTTCTGGCATCGTGCGCTGTAATTGGTAGACGGCATTTATTATAGGACGGCAATTTAAATATGCATCACATAATATTGACGCTCAAATAACATAGTTTTCTGAGCAAGTGGAATGGGGATGTTACTGCGATACTCAAGCTACAAATAATTCTGGAATAAAATGCTGATAAATAATAATTTTATAAATCATATTAGATGTTTTACAATAGTGCACCAAGACGGCGCATGAAGTGGTACCGACAACTGTTCAAGCGGTAGGCAAAAGCTGCTGTTGTAAATGCAGGGAGCTATACAGTCAGTTCTATAGTCAACAAAGTCAATCTGTCAGTGATAAAGTCAATATAGTCTATCTACGGATAAATTAAATAAAATCAATCTATCTATGGCTGCAAAAATATAAATTATGAGATACATTGACTTGTAGGAGATGTTGTGGAAAGCAGATGCATGTTAGTGACCAGTAGTGCCCAATACCCTGCCACCTTCCCGTGAAGTTAGGTGCCTAGAGCCACAGGCACCGCAAGTCCGCAGCCACTGTTCCTGCCTGTTCATTCTTCATGTATGCTACACCCCAGCATGCGCCTACCTCCACACTTACCCCGACTCCAGTCTACATAAAAAAACGTAACCGCAAGTAGTATAGCTACCGAGTGTATCATCACAATCTGCATAAACAGCTTAACAGTTACCGATCATTTAACCACAATATTATTCCGAATGTTGATCATCAAAATTGACCAATAACCTCCGAATAAAACCTGGTCATTTACCCACAATTTTATTTTGAATCTTGACCATCAAAGATTTGAGTACTGTCTTCCGATTGAAAACCTGATCATTTACCCACAATCTTACCCCGAATCGTGGTCATTAAAATCATGAGTTTACAACCATTTACCTCGATTGACCGAGCACTCACAATATTTTCAAATCACTGTTAGTAAATTTCACAAACTATTCGTTATTAATAACCTGGGACATAACCTGGGTAAGCAGAACAGCTGCCCATATCATCTTTAACCTAGCTTACTCGACTAGATTGAACAGCGCCTCAGTTTAGCACAGTTACTCTATTTAATTCGGAACTGCACTTAATTTTCTTTTGTTACGGCTCTTTGATAAACTGGATTTTCAGCTATGACTCTCATTTCTCGCAATATTGCTACCGCTCTCTCTTCTGCAACGAGTTTCACACCCATTAAAGCCTTCATATGGGCTGTCGAACTCATATAGTTTGCTTGTAATGTCTGGTAATTCATTACCAACATACGCAGGTGAGATGCAGAATGGTGCACGTCAAGGTCAACCTCTAACGGGGTTCCTGATCTTCTCAATGCATTGCTGACTGCTGCACACACCGCCACCTGCAGCTGGCTCTACATCGATTGTGAAAAAATTATTCCAGTTAAACCACTGATTTACTGGTTTTCATGTGCCTTGAAAGCACAGTGAGTCCTGTTTAGGTGATCTTACTAGCTCAATTGCGCCCACTTTGTTGAATGAGCTTCATGCTAGTGGGAAAAATCTTGTAACACAACGGATATGAACTACAGGCTTGAAACAAAAATTGTCATAAAATGGATCGAATTATATATATATATCTAAACAATATTAGGTAATTCATAATGATTGAAATTTAATCTCTTTCAAGATGAAAAAAATCATTCCCATTATAGCAAGTCTTCGCGTGTAATATCTGAAGTTTAACTTTAAGAGATCGCGTGTAATATCTGAAAATTTAGTGCTAACAAACTAGGTAATAGAAAAGCCAGATTTTACTTTATCTTGCCATCGTCTCGATAGTCGAGTGGCTAGCGATGCGTCTTCGTAGTCGCTCCCCAGGGTTCGATCCCAAACATCCCCAGAGGTTTTTGCAGATCGTACGCCAGTGGGCAGAGACCTCAGAGGATCTACGGGGCGTAGACGTGAGAGTAGCTGTAGGGAGGTGATTAACGATGAGCAAAGAGCACGCAACTCGTGGAAGTTGAGGGTGACGCGTGCGCGATTGACAACGCTGTCGGTGATTGACTTGACCGTTTGTGATGTATGGGCAAATTAACTTATAAATATCAAAAACTTATGAATGTATCGATCTCTCTTTATCAACTATTCAAAAAACAAAAACAGATTTTTAATTTATTGAGATCATCCAGATTTAGCTAAACAATGAAAGCGCCAGTAACTTTTGCATAGTCGGATCATACATTACTTCATCGAATCAGTAAAATAATTCTTAATAATTCAATGTTTTATTTTCAATTATTGTGAACAAATAAATGTATTAGAATAACGGAATTTCTCCAATGTGTTTTTCTATGTAAAATGAGAGCTGATAAATCATCTATTGTAAAAAGACTATACGAAAACCCTTTGGACTAATTTGTCAAGGAAAATGAGAGTTGATAAATCATCTAATGTAAATTATGCGAAATAACACACGTTTAATGTGAAAACTCATTGGATTCATTTTTTAAGTGAAATAGAAGCAAATGTTTCAACTTGAATCAATGCAAAGTTTTTAATACAGTAGTTGAAAACTTAAACAAATATATAGGAACTCATAAGCATTGTAAAGCAATTACCAATTAAATCATATCAAATGAATAAATCATATCAATTACCAATTGAATCATATCAAAGATGGAATGCGGAATATGCAATCACGAAGCTCAAAATTTGAAAAGGCCCGAGAAAACAAACGTCCATAGAAAATGTTTAGGTGATAGCATATTAGCCCGTTCTTTCTTTTATTGTACTCTTTGTAATTTAGAAGTGGATGATATCGGAGCACATGAAGACTCTGATTTACATTTTAAAAATAAATTTGAATGCATGCAAGGTGAAATTGAGAGGCTTTTAAAACGACCGTTTTGGTCCCGATAAAATTTTTACATTTACAACCGATCTTTCTGAAAAATCACTCACAAACGTAAAAGGTGAAATAAAAACAATTCGCTCCTATAAATTTTTTTCAAAATAAATGCATGAAAACGTGAAATTATTAGAAAACGGCAGAAAAAGGGGTACTCTACAGAGTTTATAACTTTTGCAAATCGCATACTACAATATCAAGACACGTTCGTAACTAAATTATCTAGCGACTGTAGAGCCCCCATTTTCGATTTTACTCTTCGTTTTACTTTGATGTGCGTTTTTCCATTTTTCAAATTCCCTCTCCCCCTCACCCCCACCCTCTCTCCATATATAAGTCAAACCATGCGTAAATATAAAAAAGGGCTCCTAGAGTCGCTAGGTATGGTCTTTACAAATCGAATGATATGTCTTTCATTGCATTGGCTTGAATACTGTAGGAGTTATAAAGTTTTTGAAGTGGGAAAAATGAAAATTAAACTTTTTCAGGAAACCTGACAAACTGATAAGGTGCAAAGAAAGAGATTGTGATCATCAAATCACCCTTGTGAACGAACTAACGCATGCATAGACATGCGGCTTACACCATTGGATGCGTGAGATTTAGACCTTTAAATAAATGCCAGTTATAGGCCTGGCGGGATAATTGTCCACTCAAAACTGGCATGAACGATTAGTCGATTGTGTATGCGTCATGGATTTTTCAACCAATTGTTGCGTACTAAAATCAACCTAGTATATGAACTAACGCACGCATAGACATGCCGATTACACCGTTAGATGCGCCATATATGAGGCTTAAAATTCATAACAAAAAATAAAATAGTCAAAATTTTCGATTTTTCAACAAAACGGTCCCCTTAATGATGAATGCTCAGAACATATATATCGTGATATAAGAATGATTGAGCCAAAGTCATTTCTCATGAATATAACATCAAAAGTTATTCAAGTAATTAAGTCGTCAAATTCGATTATATCAAAGTATAGTTGAATTTGCACGTTGAGTTTGATAAATTCAAATTAGGCAGCGAGAAAATCTATAATACCGCCGGGTTCAATTCAAACAGGTTTATAGAACTTTCAAGGATTCGCATAAATTTAAAAACAATTAAAAACTATTAAAATCTCATACTTGAAATTTAAGAATTTACAAACAACTCTTCTGGATGGATATTAAATAAGTTGCTAAACTTCACAATCAAAATTGTCGAATACAAACCTTTTAGAGGTTCGAGCAATATTGAATTACCAGAAAAAATGAGACCACCCAAATATAAGTTAATAAACATTAAAAACCAAGATAACATGTGCTTTAAGTAGGCGGTTGCGCGCCATTTCTGCAGTGATGAAGAAAAAATGGCGGCAACAAAATAACGAAAATATTAAAGAACAAAA